TTCTCGAATTTCCCGGGACCCAACTCACAGCCCATATTCAGTTACATTCGAGTCTTCTCCCATTATACTTACCCCTGCGCATGTTAGTCGTAGTGGGGTTACTCCGTTTTCTGGGAACCTTATTTTCCAAGTAAGATTGGACACACACCTGTCTAAAACTTTGTTGACAATCGACTTCGACACCGGAGCGCTTCTAGTTGATGTTGCGTCCATACTGACTTCGGTACCATCTGTTCGCGTGTCACCGGTGTTTGAAACGGGATTTGTAGCTTTTGTTGGAGATCCCAAAGCAGCAACCAACGCTGCGGCGACAGTCTTTGATCCTTGTATAACGTTCTGAAAATGTAGTTCGCAGGATTCTCAACAATTCCACTCCGTTTGCACTACCTTCAATGGAAGCGCCTTATTCCGCTGTGGAACAGGTACTCCGTCAACCTCCCGTTTGACTTCCTTAGCGTTGTTCTTTTGTGAAGCTTTTTTGGAATTTCTTCTTTTCCTCTAAAAATAGTCAGCTTGCGATAGGAAGGGAAAACCCGAAATCAGTTGCTAAAACGGAGCAGAAACCTCAATAAAAGAAAAGACCAAGACCAACCCCCGTCTCTTCGACTGGAGCATTTTCAGAAGTGGATGGCATGTTTAGCGATAGGCTAGTTTCATCTGGAGTGGCAGTCACAGCCCGATTACCGCCAACATCACCTTGATCTTCAGCTGACTCAACCTTCACTGTCAGTGGAACTGCCACCGGTTCTGAACCCAAATATTTAGAATATCGTCCCTTGCACACCGCCTCACTTACCAGAAGGGTTTCCTTCAATAGCTGTAGCGTTTGCATTCAAATTCTGCATGTCGCCTTGGATGTTTATTTCAGTCTCATTTGGTGATGGAAGTTCAACTCCTTCATGTGCTTCTACTCCATGTAAAAACTCTTCATAACAAGCTGCCGAAGCTTCTGGCATATCGCGCAAAGAAGTTCTGAAACTTTTGACTTGCTTGTCTTCTCCGACATTTGATTT